ACAACACAGTTTGAATATTTTTAAAATCAAGCAGTAGAAGACCGGTATTTTTTTTTTCCTGTGCCACTCTGCACGCCTGTCTCTGGAGACCCTGAGTTCCCTCAGCCCCCCAGCCGCCCAGGACTGGCTTGAGGTGCAGGAAAGCCTTGAATGGCAGCTGCCCAGCTGCCCAGGGCCACCCGAGGCTTATGCTGCTGGCAGTGGCAGAAATAGAGATGTGATGGGGCTTCGCTTTCCCCTTATCACCAGGTCGCCTTCCACCCCTGAGGGCTCCCAGACTGTGAGAGGGGACAGGCTGGGCTGAGGGACCCCCTTCCCCTTCAGTGCATAAATTTTCATGCTCTGAGCCTCTAGTTTAATATACTATATATTATTCCATTAACATTGAACTTATGGCCAACATCCCTGTAACTTATGTCTGTATGAAGCTTATCTGACACATACTTTCTCCATAAGTTGCATCACAACCTTCTTGCAATTAGACACACTAGAGAGTGTTTCAGCACTACACATGGGGGCCAATTTCGACAGTGACATCACCAACAGGAAGCACAAACATGTGAAACATGTGACATTACAAAGACTTTGAAAATGACACATTTATGGTATGACAGCTGAAACAAGGAGGCCCAGTCCTGCCTTACTAGACCTCACATTGGAAGGGGCAACTCAGATGGTTCTCTTTGCTATGCATGTCTGGGAATGACCCTGGAGGTCTCAACAGTATTGACTTGGAGTATACAAGTATATTTTTGCTTGGAATCTGTGAATAATGAGGAGCAATGGAATAAATATGTGTGCATGCACACACACACAATCTTAAGTACTGTGTGCATCCACCACCTAACCTAAGCAATAAAGACAAAATGAACACATTGGAAGAACTCTGTGGATCTTCCTAGAGAGGACCATGCTGCTGAAGTGGGGGTGGTTTTACACAAGAAATTCCAGTTTTTCTGGGACACTACACCTCATTCTAGCTCTGTTGAAATGAGCAGCTCCCTCCATACTTCTGTTGGGAGGTTCCCACTCTCCACAAAAGCTAATCCACTTGATCTGGGATATTACCTAAGCATAACATTTTTAAAAGTTTCTTGTTAGTCTGTTGTGCATTCATGCTGAGAACCAAATGAATTTAGCAAGACCCCTGGATACCGGGTCAACATATAAAAACAAATACAATTTTTATATATGGTACCAGTAACAAGCAACTGAAAAATATTTTTTAAACAACTCAATAATAAAACCAAAATTCCAATTTAAAGATGGGCAATGTATTTGAGTATATATTTTAGCAAAGAGGTTATTTGGGTAGCAAATAAGACTAGGAAACAGTCTTCAACATCATTACTCATTAGAGAAATGCAGATTAGAAGCACAGTGAGATATCACTGTGCACACCTTTTGGAGAAGCTAAAATTAAAAAGATTGGCAATTTCTAGTGTTAGTGAAGATGGAGGCAGTGGAACAGTATGTGGTCCCTCTTAGCCTCCTGCCCTGGATATTCTTCTAATATGGAGAAATACATGTAACATAAAATAGACCATGCTAACCATTTTTTTATATATATTTCTACAGATTTCAGAGAGGGAGAGGTGAGAGAAATAGAAACTTCAATGGTTAGAGAGAATCATTGTTCAGCTGCCTCCTGCACTCCCCCAACTATGGATCAAGCACACAACCCAGGCATGTGCCCTTGACTGGAATCAAACCCAGGACCCTTCAGTCTGCAGGTAAATGCTCTGTCGACTAAGCCAAACCAGCTAAGGTCATTCCAACCACTTTTAAGTGGACAGTTCAGTGGCATTAAGTATGATCACGTGCAACCATCACCACCATTCATCTTGACTTTCTTATCTTCACAAACTGAAATGTGGTCCCCATTAAACACTCACTCCTCATTCTCCTGCCCCACCTGTGGCACCCACCATTCTACTTCCTGTCTGTAAGAGTTTGACTCCTCTAGGAACATCATACAAATGGATTCATACAGTATTTGTTCTTTCATGACTGGTTTCTTTCATTCAGCGTAATATCCTTAAGGATCAATCATGTTGGACCCTGTGTCCCACTTTCTTTTTTGAAAAATTTTAAGTGGTAAAAAGCACATAACAAAATTTACCATTGAAACTGTATTGAAGTGTGCAGTTCAGTAGTGTTAAGTACATTCACATTATTGTTCAATCAACATCCAGGATTTTGCATCTTGTAAAACTAAAACTCTACATGCACTGAACACTAACTCCTCACTCCCCCTGGTCCCACCCCAAGCAACTACCATTCTATTTCCTGTTTCTCTGAATTTGACTATCTTAGGTATGTCATATAAGTGAAATCACGCAGTATTTGTCTTTTTTGACTGGCTTCTTTCATTCAGCATGAGATTGGTAACTGTCTCTGCTTTCAAATTCCTATTTCCTATTGTGTGTACACTTCAAATGCCACCCACTTCCATCAGGACCTCCATACCCAACAAATAAAACTATCATATTGGATTATGGATATTTGCATGTCAATAAAAAGAAAAGCAATGTCTAAATGAGAGTGCCAACAACAACAACAAAAAGGATGGTATCAGGAAAGCAGTAGCTCTCTAGCTCTGTTAACCAATGGGTAAGGTCCCTGGACTTGAGATGCCTGGAAGGAAATTTTTTATTTCTTTTCTGCCTAGAAGTGGTAAACTGGAGGCAAGCAACAGGAGGTGCATGGTTATTTTGGAAGGGCCTGACTTCAAGAGTAGAACTTCCACATCTGCTCATTAAACATATTTTGACTATCATTCTCTTCTCTAAGATCACTTACTGTTAAAGATACAGAAATACAACTTTACTGAATTAAAATTTACACAAATGGTAGACTGTGTGGAGAGATGGCCCTAATTCTTTGTCTATTTCCATGACTCGGCAATGTAACTGTGAGCTCCTCCCATACAGAGCTGCAGTCTGCTTCTCCACCTCTGACTTTGGGCTGGAATTAGGATTTTTTAAATTGTTTTGGTCAAATAAAATATGGTGGAAGTATAACAGTGTGCTTTACCAGGCCTTGGTGCATTTCCACTGCTATCGCTCAGATCCCAGCTGAGCCATGTGAATATATTCAGGGGGCCTTCTGGAGAAGGAGAAAAAATGGGGACAGAGCTCATTCATTCCAGTCAAGCCCGTCCCCAGGTCAGTCACCATAGCTGAGGCCCTACTGCATTGGAAAGCCCAGCCAAGGTCAGCAGAGACACCAAGCTGACCCATAGCTGACTACAGACTCACGAGGGTACCATATAGATCAGAACACTTCCCACTGCACAAACCCATTGGAAAATAAAGGAATTGTATTAAACTATTTGCTTTTAGGATGGCTTGGTACATAGCAATCGTGAATTGATACTGTAATCAAAGCTAAAAGAACTGAGGGATGTTATAATAATCTGCTACTTCTTACTTTTGGCATTTGCACTAATATTTGAAGACAGCACTCACAATCATACTGTAATTCCAATGCATTTTAGATGACCATATAAAAGTGACTCCACTGAGGTTCCCTTCCAGGTAGTCAAGACAGGATGGAAGGACATGCTTGTTTGTGCAATAAAATCTGCACATAACTGGGCAGGATTTATCCTTTGATCATAAAGATTGAAGATATGGTCCTTGCCGGTTTGTTTCAGTGGATAGAACATTAAAGTGGAGGCTGAAAGATCCCACGTTCAATTCCAATCAAGGGCACCTGCCCAGATTCCAGGCTTGATCCTCAGTAGGGGGCATGCAGGAGACAGCCAATCAATGACTCTCTCTCATCATTGATTTTTCTATCTCTCCCTCTCCCTTACTCTCTGAAGTCAGTAAAAAAATATATATTTTAAAAAGATTGAAGATATTCCTAAATATAAAGATACTTATTTTGTGATATTGAGATTTTCACTAGCTTTCCTCTTAGTGGATTTGAAAAAATTAGAAAAGGGAAGATAGTGAATTTAGAACACCAGAAAGATTCACATTAGTAGGGTGCACATTTAAAGTTTTTAAGAAGCCCTAGCCTGTATGGCTCAGTTGGTTGAGCATCATCCTAGGCACAGAAAGTTTGCTGATTCTATTCCCAGTCAGGGCACATTTCCAGGTTGTACATTGGATCCCTGATTTTAATGTGTATGGGAGACAACATTTGATCAACAAGTGATCAACATTTCCCTCTCACAGGGATGATTCTCTCTCCCTCTCACTTAAAATAAAAGCATATAAAAAGAATATTTTCAAGCAAAAAACAGTGAAATAGTTCAGAACAATTATAAAATACACCATATAATTTGTCACCCCAATGAATAAGAAGCCTTACACATGGAGAACATATTATATACTTTATTAAATACATAATTGCCATAAAACATCTTTGGATAATAAAATATTGTATGGCTATTATTGCTTCATCACATTTAAGGTCAACTCTGATTCTAACCATATTAGACTAATCTATCTATTAAAATATGTATTTTCTTTTAGACTCTTCTTGGAAATATGTGTTTGATAGTCAATTTTTCCCAGTGGATACGGTAGGCATGTGGACACAGAGATGAATAATAGAATGAGGAACATAAAATCAAGAGACTAACTATAAAACATACTAGCATGTCAAAGTCCACATTTTCAAGAAGAGCAGTAAAGATGGTGCTATAGAAAATAACAATTAAGTGAAAACTGAAGTCTCAGAGTTACCTCTAAAATAAAATTATGCAAATGACCTTAATAGCCAAGTAGAGTTTTCTCCATAGGGGTAGTATAATTCATGACTATTCTCTCAGGAAAACAAGAGAAAAAAATTACTTGGAATGAAATATGTCATAAGATAATAGCTTAAGCTAAAGTAATTCATGTTAACGCATGACATAAATGAGAATGTCCATTGACACATGGTCCCAATATTGGATTAATTTGTGTCAAAACTTCTGGCCCTGAGGATATGAACTTTGCATTCCTGGGAAATTCTTCAGCCTAGTAAGTTGGCTTTTGAAGAGTTTACCTGCCACAGAATCTTTCCAGGGCCCTCTTTATGTCCTTGTTCCTCAGACTGTAGATGAAGGGGTTCAGCATGGGTGTGAGCACGGTGTACATCACCGATGCTGCTGCACTTGAGTGAGAGCTCCAGGAAGCAGCTGAGCTGAAGTATACTCCTAGGAGTGTACCATAAAATAAGGAGACAACTGAGAGGTGAGATGCACAGGTAGAAAATGCTTTGTACTTCCCCTGAGCTGATGGGATTCCACATATGGAGGAAAGTATCTTAGAGTAAGAGTAAAGGATCCCAGCAAGGGAACCACCACCTAGCAGTGCAGCTGTAAAATACATGATCATGTCGATAAGAAAGGTGTCAGAACAGGTAAGTTGGAGAACCTGATTGAATTCACAGAAAAAGTGGGGAATTTCAAACTCTGAGCAGAAGGACAACCTCAACACCATTAAGCTTTCTACCAAGGAATTCAAGACACTCAGGATCCAAGAAACCAGAACCAGCAGTCCACAGAGCCTCGGGTTCATGATGACCATGTAGTGCAGGGGGTGGCAGATGGCCACAAACCGGTCATAGGCCATCACAGTCAGAATAAAGTTGTCTAAGCCAGCAAAAACTATGAAAAAATACATCTGGGTTATGCAGCCTTCATAGGTGATGACTCTGCTCTGTGTCTGGATGTTGACCAGCATCTTTGGAATGGTGGTGGAGGTGAAACAGATGTCTACAAAGGATAGGTTGCAGAGGAAGAAGTACATGGGTGTGTGAAGGTGGGAGTCTGAGCTGACGGCCAGGATGGATGAGCAGGTTTCCAAACACAGTGACCAGGTACATGGAGAGGAAAAGCCCAAATATGAGGGGCTGCAGTTCCAGTGCCTGTGAAAGTCCCAGAAGAAGAAAATTTGAAATGTGTGTCCCATTGCTTGGTTTCCTGTGTTTGAGGGCGTAAATGCCAGAAAATAGAGAAAATGAATAAATGTCACTTTAGCCAACATTAGTAACTATGAATACGTGACATTATTATGTTTTGGGATTAGGAAAAATATTTCCATTTCTGGTGTGTGATTTATTCCCCATTATGTTATCTCTATTGGCATTTCTCAATAAAATTTTCTATTCTACCATCAACCTGCTCTTCAAAAATAACGAATATTGTTGCTTTATTGAGAATATCTTTCATGCATTTGAAGAATATATGTTGACCATAGATGATGTTGCAGGCACTATTCAGAGTATGGCATGCTGAAAACTGGTCTTCCATCAGTTAATTGTTAGCAAGTAGTTCAATGTTCACTTTTTTTAGCATCATAAATTAGTTCTTAATTAAACAGGCAAACAACCAACCATAGACTGGTGCCTGTCAGGAGACCTCAGGTACATGTGCTTGGCTTTGACTCTCTCTGACCCTTTCCTGTAGAACCTACTGGACCGCTGGACTCACCTGTTTGGGAACTCTGAGGGGAAGGTCTCCATGGGGAAGTCCAACCTTCCAGATGGCTGATGATGGAGACTGAAGCTCTCTGCCCAGACAAGACAGCAGGAAGGAGGCAAGCACAGGTCTCCTAGAAAAACTTAGGATTCCAAAAGCAACAACCGGGTCCCATCCAGCCCCAGGTCACACACACTGAGAGATTGGAGATGAGGAGATATTTACAGCTTCCTATGTCTGCTCATTAGGTGCATTTCTGTCTCGTTACTCCAACTTCTAATCATTTGATTTCCCTGTGGGTCCGGACAGAAGGGAATGTTTTTTTTGAGATTGTGTGTACCCAAAAGACCAGCTTAAGATTCAAGTTAGTCCAGTTTTTACTAGTTCTTCCTTATAACATTTGTTGGATTTCAGAGCACTAACATCCCAGCACCTTATTCCAATTCTGATTTAAAATTTTTCCAAATTTAAGATTGAGGATACAGCCTGGATTAGAAACTTGAATCTACAAATATTGCCTTGTGGTAGGGATACAGGCCATGATATCTACAAGAAAACTGCTATTTTTCTTTTCAACAAGATGAAAACTATGTTTTTTTTATATAAACTTCGTGTGTTACATACTGGGCTTCTTGACACATTAGCCAAAACAATTGGCATTTCCTCCTTATGTCACAAGTTAAGAGCTGTCATTTAGTCCCCCACTATGAAATATTTGTTAATTATAAAAAACATATTTCAATTATTTTACATGCTAATATAAGTTTGGAGTAGGAAAGTAAATAGACTCTTCCCTGTAGCCTCCAGAAAAAAAACTAGCCCTGCAAACATCTTGATTTTAGCCCCTTAAGTCCCATTTCCTATTTGTGACCTCAGGAATTATAAAAGCATGAATGTGTTTGTTTCAAATCACTTGTGTGGTAATTTTAGATTAGCATTAAAAATTGAATACAACTTTATCCAATGAAAATTTTCTTCAGGAAGCTGAGATCCAGTGTCTCAATTCATTCATTTATCCTTCTCTGGGTAAAGGCATTTTGGATTGTAATCCCCCCTTAAGTAAAAGAAATGTGTGATCAGTTTGGAGATAGTCAGCCTCTTTAGTGGGTAGAGAATTTCTTATTGAATAAATGTAAATGTGTTCCCAATTTTGATGCCTTAGAGGCATTAACATGGGAAAAGCAATCCATCATTTAATTTCATGTTTACCATTTACTTTAAATCTTCGTGTCTATATATTTACATCTTTTCATTTTATGTTAATTCAGAAATTCACTCTCTTCATTTCCATATTCTTTATTTATTATTATTTATTTATTTAATTTTACTGAGGTGACATTAGTCAATATAAATATATAGGTTTCATGTGTGGATTACTAATTTACAAAATCTGTATATAGGACCATGTGCCCACCATCCAAAATCAAATCCCCTTCTGTCACCTCATATTAGGGCCCCTTTCTTCCCCCATCCCTTCCCTCTGGCAACTACCACACTGCTGTTTGTGTTCATAAGTTTCAGTTTTATATTCAACATATGAGTGAAATCATATAGTTCTTAGCTTTTTCTGTCTGGCTTATTCACCTAGCACTGTGGTCAGCAAACTGTGGCTCGTGAGCCACATGCGGCTTTTTGGCCCCTTGAGTGTAGCTCTTTCACAAAATACCACTGCTTGGGCGAGTCTATTTTAAAGAACTGGCATTAGAAGAAGTTCGAGTTTTAAAAAAATGTGGCTCTCCAAAGAAATTTCAATCGTTGTACTGTCGATATTTGGCTCTGTTGAGTAGTGAGTTTGCCGACCACTGACCTAGCATAAGGTTTTCAAGGTCCACCCATGTTGTTGTAAATTATGCTATTTCATCCTTCCTTATTGCCATGAAGTACTCCATTGTGTATATACCACATCTTTATCCAGTCCTCTATCAGAGGGCACTTTGGCTGTTTCCAGCTCTTGGCCACCGTGAATAAAGCTGCAATGAACATAGGGGTGCATATATCTTTGCGTATAAATGATTTTGAGTTTTTCAGGTGTATATCCAGGAGTGGGATTGTTGGTTCATATGATAGCTCTGTTTTTAACTTTTGAGGAATCACCAGACTGCTTTCCATAGTAGTTTTACCAGTCTACGCTCCCACAAGCAGTGAAAGAGGGTTCCCTTCATACCACAGAGCTACGATAATCAAAACAGCATGGTTTGGCAGAGAAACAGCTATGCAGATCAATGGAACAAAATAGAGAGCCCAGCTATAAAACCAGATGTATGTGGACAGATAATTTTTGACAAAAGTTCCACAAGTGCACTTTGGAGTAAAGATAGTCTCTTCAATAAATGGTGCTGGGAAAATTGGAAAGCCACATGCAAACGAATGCAACTGGATTGCAGTTTGTCTCCTCTATCTTCTTTAAACTTCTCTTAAGTTTACTTTCAACATAAAATACTAGAGGCCCGGTGCACGAAATTCATGCATAGGGGGTCCCTCAGCCCAACCTGCACCCTCTCCCATCCAGGAGCCATCAGGGGATGTCCTACTGATGGCTTAAGCCCACTACCTGTAGTTCTCTGCTCTCTTCAAGAAGGTGTCACATAGACCAGGGTTAGAACTTGCAAACAGGTAGCTAAGGGGTACTCTATTCTCTTTTCTGGCAGAACAATAAAGTGTTACAACATTGGGAAACCTATCTGAAGACATCTATAAATATTACAAGTACATATATTCTTTAAGTCATGGTTTCTTAATCTCTGCACTATTGACATTCTGGACCAGATCATTGTCTGTCATGTGGTCTCTCCTGTGCATCCCTGGACTCTACCTACACTGACCATGTGACAGATCAAACTGTCTCTGGATATTGCTCAATGTCCCTTGGGGGAAAAACACTGCCTAGCTGTTAGAGAACCAGAATTTTAATGTAATAATTTCAAAATATTTTTGTATAATTGTTATAATAACAATTCATTGAGAATGTATATGGAAGGCTTTCAAGTGTGAATAGCACAACCACATCATAAAATATTATGTAAACATGGTAATGAATTGGCATCACACTAGTTGATTGGAGTGAAGACCATAGGCATTGTTGAACAATAAGGAAGAGTGGGCACATGGAAAAAAGACTGTACAACATAGAAAGAAATTTTCTACTGGGCATAGGATGCTATTTCTGCATTTCAACAAATGTATATGAATGTGTATGTATTCAAAGAAAAAAACAATAATTTTTTTAAAAGCTAAGAATTTATGGAATACAGATTATCAGTAGAAATGAAATTAGGTGAAATATAGGGGTTACAAAACAACTGTGTGAAACAAAATTAAGTGAGAATCAAATTAATTTATATAAAAACAGAAAACAATAAGTTAATAATATCAACATGGACCATTAATTCCTGGTTAAATTTCTAATAAATTGGAAATAAAAGAATAGCCTAGAAGGGCTTTTAAATGTATCCACAAAATATATCCACATATCTCATTCATATGAAGCCATGTTTACTAACCCACTTTAACTTTAGAAATAAGGAAATTGAGGCTCAGATAGATTAAATATTTAACATTTTCATTAAGAAACCATTAAAGTTTATTGTGCATTCTCTTGACTTATATACAAATGGAAATCTGAGGTATGGACTGTAATTTTTATATGGCTTTTTTTCACCAAATTATACATTTTAATCATGTTTAGTTTATATTATGTAATTATACTTCAATGCACTACTTAGAAGAACAAAAACCAGGATCTAGAGATCACATAGCTGATTCACACTGAGAAATTGTGGAAGGAAGCTCTTCTACTTGGGAAAAAAGCAAAGCGTCATGGATATAGGAAGAGTAGAAATAAAATAAAGCAATTCACATTCGGTCCAAAAAACATAAAATAAAAGATAAACATACATATATAACATTAGAGTAAAGTGATCATATATTGTTTCAGGGGGGAAAAACACCATGACCACACACAACATCATTTATAAGCCTTAGGAAAACTTGTAGAGACTCACAGCTGATTGTAGACACATAAGGATGTGGGCAGAGCTCATAACAACTCCCAAACACACAACCTCACTTGATAATAATGGAATTATGTTAAATAATTTTTGTAGGATGGCTTGTCATAACTACTAATACAATAATCAAAATGAATAAGTGTGAGGACAGTAATAATATGTTGCTGATTATAGCTGGCATATGTTATCATTTTTTAAGATGTCATTCATGGATACTATTGTTTTTTTGTGTTTGTTTTTTTAGTTTATGTCAGACAACTGTATTTAAAAACCCTCATTGGGATTCATTTTCTTATAACCAGGAGAGGTGGAAAGAACAAGTATTTTGTATAGGAAAACTAGTGACCCTGATTTACATGACTAAATAAGAAAGAAAAAAGTTGTGAATTTTGACTCTATCCATGTCAATATCCTAGTTGTGGACACTGCCATATTTCCAGGACCAAACTTGGATTATAAATAAAATACAGAAAAACCACCCTGAATAATCAACTGAAAACTAGCTGGAGAGAACCCTGATAAACAAGAACAGAAAACTGAGACCTCATAGAGACGGATTCAAGTGTTAAGGTGCAAAAGGGCTGGTCTGCTCTCACAAATATCAGTGAAAGGTCCAGAGGAATATCTCCAACTCTGGGGAGTTCCCACTGAGAACTCTGTGGTCTTAACCCCAAGCTGGGCACCCCAGTCCAGAGAACCAGAACTGAGAAAGGTGCCTACATAACATCTGGCTGTGAAAAGCAGCAGGTTGTTTGCCATGGAGATGGCTGGAAATGCATGAACTTTAATGGCTTCTTAAAGGGCCAACACACAAAGAGCCCACTCACCTTGGGCTCTAGCACAGGGAGGGTAGATCTGACCAGAACTGTGCAAGCAGAAGCCAGATTTGGGAATTCTGGGGTTAGACTTCCATAGGAAGATACCCCTGTTTCCTATACCTAGTCATTCCCTCACACTGAGAAGGACATCTTTCTCAGGCAGACCTTTGCTATCCAGTCAGTTTTACCTGGGAGGAAGCAATTGCCCCATCTGATTGAAAAACACCTTGCTCCACACCATGGAATTTCTGAGGCCCAATAAAAGACTGAGAATAACAATCAGCCTGAAGGCAGAAGCAATTTCCACCTTCTTGGAAAATATCTCATGCCCCCCACACCACTTTCCCCTTTGGTGATAGCTTGAGGCTAATCAAGACAACACAATCAGACTGCAGAGAGAGGTGGGTCTCTGGAAGCTTTGAATCTTTGATCTAATGTGGGGCCTAGGGCTAGGAAAAGTAAACCTCAGTCCACTACTTCCCAGAGGCATCAAGCCACAGCAGAGGGAATCACAAGTAGTGGATTTCTGATAGCTCCAAACAGGGTATTCAGGGCCAGTCATAAACAGTGCCTCACACTGTTCTGCACTGGAGATTGGAAGACAAAGCAGATCTTCCTAATCAGGCAGCCAAAATGATGATAAAAAAAGGCCCCAAGTGAAAAAATAAGACAATTCTTCAGAAAAACTACATGAAATTAAGATAAGAAATTTATCAGATTAGAGTTCAGGGTAATGATGGCAAAGATGCTCAACAGCTTGAGAGAAGATGTAGTAACTATGAATAATGATACAGCATTAATAAAGAACACAGTGGAAGGGATGAAAAGCAGATTAGAAGAAGCTGAGGATCATATCAGTGAATTAGAAAACAGGGTAGAATAAATCATTTAATCAGGGAACCAAAAAGAAAAAAAAACTATTAAAAAACAGGAGGACAGCTTAAAGGAGCTGTGGAACAACATAAAGTATAACAATAGCCACATAATAGGAGTGCCAGAAGATGGAGAAAGTGAGCAAGGAATAGAGAATGTGTTTGAAGAAGTAACAGCAGAAAGATTCCCTAACTTGGTGAAGGAAATAGGCACATATGTTAAGGATGCACAGAGAGTTCCAAGCAAAAAGAACCAAAAAGGCCAACATCCTTATCACAATGAAAATGCCAAAAATTAAAGACAAAGAAAGAATCTTAAAGGCAGCAAGAGAAAAGCAATTTGATATCTACAAAGGAGTTCTGATAAGGCTGTCAACTGATTTTTCATCAGAAACTCTACAGGGCAGAAGGAATTGGCATGATGTATTTTAGCTAATAAAATGCAAGGATCTAAAAACAAGGTTACTATATCCAGTAAGGCCATCATTTGAAATAAATGGTGAAATAAAAGCTTCCCCAACAGAAAAAAAAGGCTAAAGGAGATTGTCACCACCAAATCAGCATTACAAGAAATGCTAAAGGGACTGCTGTAATGAGGAGAAGAAATAGAGAGAGAAACATAGGCATAAAGAATTAAAATGGCAATAAGTAAGTACCTATCAATAATAACCTTAAATGTAAATGGATTAAATGCTCCAGCCAAAAGACATAGGATAGTTCAATAGATACAAAAACATGACACAAATATATGCTGTCTACAAGAGATGAACATCAGAACAAAAGACTCACACAGAATGAAAGTGAAGAAATGGAAAAAAAAATTTTCCATGCCAAAAAAAAAAAAAAAGTGGGAGTAGCAATACTTATCTCTGACAAAGCAGACTTCAAATTGAAAGCCATCACAAGAGACAACAAAGGTCATCACATAATACTAACTGGATCGATACAAGAGGATATAACTCTGGTAAACATATATTGACCCAATATAGGAGCACATAAATATATTTTTAAAAACTTCTAAAGGACTTCAAGGGAGAGATCAACATCCATCATAATAGGGGACTTTAACACCCTGCTGAATTCACTGTATAGATTGTCAAGAAAAAAAATAACAAAGAAACAGTGACTCTAAAGGACACACTGGATCAGATGGACTTCATTGATATTTATAGGACATTTAAGCCCAAATCTGCAGAACATACATTTTTTTCTCAAGTGCACATGGATCATTCACAAAGATAGACCACATGTTAGGACACAAAATAAGTCTCTACAAGTTCAAGAAGATTGAAATCATATCGAGTATCTTCTCAGATATATGTAATTTGAGAAATATTTATGTTGTCTCATTAGGTAAATGAAATTTTCCAAATATATCTGATCCATGATGGAAATAAATTTGAGAAAGTAGAAAAATAACAAAGAGAAGAGTTATTGAATATATGAGAGCAGAGAAATTAATTGAGTTACATAAATTGAATAAAGAAGATGAGGTCAAAGGAATAGAAATTCCAGGAAATAAAAAAGGAAAGAGCAAGTTTTACTTTGGTAGTCTAATGATCATCACAATGACTGACTCTGCAAACATAGACACATCTTCAGTCTTAGGACAACTGGTCTGTTGTAGTTTCCTTCATAAAGAATGTTTTCAGAGCCTGTTTGATGTCTTTGTTCCTGAGACTGTAGATGAAGGGGTTCAGCATGGGTGTGACTACAGTGTACATCACCGAGGCTGTTGCAACTGAGTGTGAGCTCTGGGTAGCTGCCGAGCTGAGATATACTCCTAGGATTGTACCATAAAATAAGAAGACAGCTGAGAGGTGAGATGCACAGGTAGAAAATGCCTTATACTTCCCCTGAGCTGATGGGATTGCATGTATGGAGGACACTATCTTAGAATATGAGTAAAGGATCCCAGCGAAAGGACCACCGACAAGCAGGACAGCTGCAAAATACATAGCCATGTTATTTAAAATTGTGTCAGAACAGGCAAGTTTTATCAACTGATTTAGTTCACAGAAAAAGTGAGGGATTTCCACATCCATGCAGAAGGACAGTCTTAATGCCATTAAGCATTGTAGGAAGGAATGTAGAGTACTCATGATCCAGCATATCAGAACTAGCAGTCTACAGAGCCGAGGGTTCATGATGACAGTGTAGTGCAGTGGGTGGCAGATAGCCACATACCTGTCATAGGCCATCACAGTCAGGATAAAGTTGTCCAAGCCAGCAAAAAGTACAAAAAAATACATCTGGGTGATGCAGCCTTCATAGGTGATGACTTTGTTTTTTGTCTGGATGTTCACCAGCATCTTTGGGACTGTGGTGGAGGTAAGCCAGATGTCTACCAAGGACAGGTTGAAGAGGAAGAAGTACATGGGTGTGTGGAGGTGGGAATCTGAGCCGACAGCCAGGATGATGAGCAGGTTTCCCAACACAGTGATCAGGTACATGGAGAGGAAAACCCCAAATTCGAGGGGTTGTAATCCTGGTTTCTCTGAAAATCCCAGAAGAAAAAATCTTGAAATTTGTGTAAGATTCACCTGTTCCATGTGTTGGAGGTGACTGCCAAGAAATATTAAAATAACATGAACACATTTCACATAAAGTTGCATTGCTCACATATTTGAAATTCTAGAATCCATGTATTGTAGACCAGACATTAATTTTAATATTTTTGTATGTGAATATGGTCCCCGGTAAGGAATATCCACTGCCACTTCTGATATGGAGTGTTTGTCCCAATCACCTATGCCTCTGAGGGGATCATGCATTCTACAGTTTTATTGAGAATTTCTTCATGTTTCTTAAGAATGAAAATTGAGTACTGACCATGTTTAGGCACTGCCCAGGCTGTGAGAATAGGGTGCTAAAGAACAAGTATTTATAATCCAACGAGGGAGAAAGAAGGTAGAAGCAAATAATAAAATGATAAGTTACTTTAGATGGCTGCAGCGTTATGAAGAAAAGAAAAACACATCTAAAGGAGAGTGAGCAAGGAGTTCTGTTTTTCATGGGTGTGTAAGTAGATCTGCAAACAAGGTGACATTTGAACAGAGACCTCAAAAGTGAGCAGGAGAAAATCTGAGGTGACCTAAATTAAATAACAGTTGGGCCAGAGAGTGAGAGAAATAGACAATAGACATCAACTGGGTAAAAGCTGTGGCCGTATTTTCCTGAGTATAAGACGACTTTTGAACCGGGAGAAAAAAGTCAACCGAAACTCGGGGGCAAAAGACCAAAATTGCACAAAAATTACCTGCAGATCTTAACGGCAAAGTAAGTCTTTTCTTTGAAGTGGGGGATAGTCTTATACAGCGAATATAGGCCTAAACCTATGTTTTAACTGTAAAATTAGGGGGTCATCTTATACTCTGGAAAATACGGTACAAAAGGCTGCTCACATTCCTGAATGTATGTTGGCATTTGAATCAAGTTCTGTAGTGACCACTAGATGGCCCTGCTTCCTGCACATGCTTGAGCTTTCAGGACTGTTGCCTGTAACCAATTAAAAGCAGTAAATATTTCTCCCTTAGTACCTGTTCTAGAATTGCCCCTCTTTACCTTCTTCTGCTGCTCCCACCGCTATCAATACCCAATGAAAATAGATTAGATCTCTTAGAAAGTCATTGTGGGTACATCTGAATTCCGCCCTGAATGCTTGATGATAGAGACTCAAGTTCTGTTCACAGGCAAGGCAGCAGGAAAGTGTGAAGCATCAGTCTCCAGCCAGAGTTAGGCCTCCAAACAAAGAATAATGACAAATAAAATAACCATGCTCCTCTCAGCCTACGTTTACACTATCTGAGAGACTGTAGTGGAGAAGATATTTATAAAATTCTTGTACTTGCTCCTCAGGCACATTTCCCTCTTGTTACTCCCACCTCTAAGCACACGATTCACCAGGGAAATAATGTTCTGGACAGAAAGAAAAAATCTTTAAAGATTCACCTTTTCCAACAGACCAGGTTACGAGTCATGTGGATTCAGTCTCCACTTCCCCCCCTCCCCTTTCCTCCCTCTCCATGAACTCTCCTCTCATCCAGATCTCTAATCTCCTAACGCCCCATCTCTACTCTGAGTTGTGTCCTCCAAATCTAAGATTGAGGAATCTGTCTGCATTAAGTTTCTTTGGCTTCAGCACTGACTTGTGTTGGATACACACAGTCCTGATATCCCTGGAATATTTCTGTTCTCCTTTCAACAAGGTGAGAGCTGAGTCTTTAGACAATAAACCTTTGTACATAACACTTGTTGACTTTCTGACATTTTCGCCACAATAATAAGGAATTTTTGTTTTTCCATCACAAGTTAAGACTGTCATTATAAAAATGATTGTTAATTCTAAAAAAAAAAATATTTAGATCTTTTTATGCACTGTAAACTGAAGCTAACACCCTATAAGGATTGTCTAGTTTAATTTTTATAAGCAACTTACCCATGAGAAAGCACATTTATGAGCTCCATTCTCCATTGCAGAAATGGGACATGGAGACCTTTACTGATCTGTCCAAAGTTAATATCTGAGTAAGTGGCCGGCCTTCACTTTAATTATGCCAGATGCTTCTAGGGCAGCGTCTATCAACCAGAATGGACTTCTCTCTGGGGCTGTTAGGCAATGTCTGAACAGAGGACACTAAATACCTATCATACAGCACTGTATCACTGTATTTATGACACTAAATATAGCACCCACACATGGAATTACTATCCTGTCCCCAATGTTAACAGGAACAAGGTGAGAACACCTGCTGTAGGCCAGCACCTCTCCACTTCTGAGTGCATCCAAAGCACCAGTTTGTAGTGCAAACGCAGATTCTGATTTGTCTCAGATAAGCCCAGGAATTGCATTTCTGACAAGATCCCAGGGGTGTTGATGCTGCAGGTCCTCCTGGTGTGTGGACCACAATGTGAGTAGCTAGGCTGTGGCTCTGTGTCAGAGTCAGGTGTACGTGGTTCTAGGTCGTCTAAGGCAAAGATCCTCTTTGGATATAACTTGGAAGGAATCGTGTATTCCCTTATTGTAGAGGTTGTGGTAAATACTATTAGTTTCTTATATATCAGGACCCTTCATTGATACAAAACAATGTATTTCTGAAAAAGACTTTGTAGCAGGCAGAGTAAGGGCCTCCTAAAGATGAACACATCATACCCCAGTACCTTTGAATATGATATTTATATGATAAGGAGGAGGATTGGGCAGCAGATGGAACAGGCTTGTTAATCGGCTGACTTTATGCCAGAGGATGAGCCAGGCTCATTCTGGTGGGACTAAGGTAAGCACAGTGGTTCTGTTAATGTTGAAGAGAGAGACAAAAGGTGTGATCTCAGAAAGATTTTGAAAATGCTACCCAGCTGGCTTGAAGATGAAGGAAGGAACATGAGCCAAGGGATGGCAGCCAGCCACACATACAATCATCAGAAAGAAACAGATCTTCCCTGAGCCTGACGGAGTCCAGCCCTGCACAGATCTTGGTATTAGCCACTGACTCTCATTTCAAGCTTCTGATATCCAGCCTGTGAGAGCATATGTTTGTTTGTTTGTTTGTTTTAAGCAACTACTGTGGGAATACTTTATAGCAGTTATAGGATTCAATATAGATATTTACTCAATAAAACTTGTTTGACAGAAGCTTCCCTTGGATCATTTCACGTTAAACACAGGCATGAAGAAAAAGGAATTTTAATTACATTTGGAGATATCTCCCTCCTCCCCCCTATTGCTGGTACAGTGAAGGCCTCACTGCATATGTATAAACTGACTGTGCTGCCTCTGTGGCTTTAAGAGTTAAGGTACAATGGGTGACCTTTATTTCTCCATCCATATAACTATAGTGAATTTTTTACTCAGCACCCTATATCTTTGCCTAGGACGTTGATTAGTCCTCAACTTATATTCCCCGAATGCATGCTAGAATTTCTCATTACAAGTAGAGACCACTGAAACTGGCTTGGCTCAGTGGATAGAGCGTCGATCTGCTGACTGAAAGGACCCAGGTTTGATTCCGGTCAAGGGCATGTGCCTTGGCTGTGGGCACATCCCAATTGGGGGGGGGGGGGTGCAGGAGGCAGCTGGTTGATGCTTCTCTCTCACTGATGTTTCTAGCTCTCTATCCCTCTCCCTTCCTTTCTGTAAAAAATCAATAAAATATATATTATAAAGAGAAGAAAAAGCAGAGACCACTCAGGGAAAAGGCTGAGTGTGGGGTAGGAATTCTTTTCAATTGTTCCAACAGAGAAAGTCAATGGGTAACAAATCCAAGAATATGTGCAGCCCTGCCAATAATAAAGTAATTAATTTGAACTAAAACTATGTAGTATCCTCTTCAGACTTATTAAATACACTTTTTCATGTGAATACCCAGCATGAGAGAAGATGCTGTAATGAAAGTCTTACAAATTGCTATTGCAAGGGACCAACTCCCTGACTGGTCAGGATCTTTTCAATAAACACAAAACATGCTCAAATGCACACCATCTTTGACATTTCATGCAAACACTCTCACTCCATGAAACTGTTCTTCCAACATAATTTTCTATTACCTTCTTCCCGAAAAACAAGTCTCAGATATGTTTTCATTTTACTGCATCTCACTCATTCCACAGTGTCATCATCCAACAGGACTCTCATTCCCAGCACTTAATTGTCAACTATGGTCCTTGTCATGCAGATTCAAACACCCACATCTTTCTTGTTATATTAACTAAGTTAATTACCAATTGGTTACTAACCAAGAATACAGACACAAAGATATCTTGTCTCTGAACTAGTATGTTTGGGCTCCCAGGTGACTTAGGTAAAAGTTCTGAGGTTCAATCCTCTCTGACCCTCTATTGATGTACCTACTGGCCTCCCAGACTCACCTGGATGGGTCTCTGAGAGGAAGGTCTCCGTGTGGAAGTCTGAATGTGCTCCCTGAATGGTTGATGATGAAAGCTCTGCTCCACAGGAGACAGCAGGAAGGAGTGAAGCACCAATTCCTGAGCCAGCTTAGGAATAAAAAGCAACAATCATGTCCTGCCCCCCAGCGTTGTACAAGCTGGAGACTGCACAGGGGAGATAGTTACAGCTCTCCCTATACCTGACCATCAGGCACATATTTCCCTCGTGTTATTTCAACATCTAAGCACGTGATTTCCCTCTGGGCCTCTGGAATAAGCAAAAAGGAAATTTTTCCTAATGATTCTCTCATCCCAAGAGACCAGATGGAAGTTAAGTTTTTATGACTCTTTCTCTTGAGCTCACCTGCTTTGCAGAGGTCTAACCTTATCCATTCCTGACTTCATGTTCTCTACAAAGTCTGTTTTGGGGTGGGACACAGATCTTATATCTCTGGAAAATTGCTATTCTCCTCTTCAAACAGACAGAACTGCATTCCTTTCATATGTAATACTGTGTATCTCCCTGTTTGGCTTCCTGACACATTTGTCAAAATAACTGGGGATTTTATAC